GTTGAATTTTGCACGTTAATGAAGATAAATTAGAAAAATTTTATCAATCAGTTTTGAATGATTTTTTTTTTAATTTTAACGAAAATAAAGTCAGATATAATATGCATCATTGATAAAATTTTATAAAAGTTTTAATAAATTTTGTGGTAGAATCAATTTATGGTGTGGTTTGACTGACCATTCAATTCTCATATTGCAATTATTACCTGAATAGTATCATTATTTTGAAAGTTTAGCTTCCATTTCAATTGAAGTGACAAAGTACACTACACTACTTATCGAACAGAAACAGAGAACCCTAACCGTCTTTTTTTAACTAGTGAATCAACCTTATACCAGTTGGTTGCACATTATTATTACACTATAGTCACAAGATATGAACTGTGATTATTGAAGAAACAGTTAGCATATGATTGTACATTTGTTTAAATGATTGCTTGGTTATGGTAGAGTCACATAAAATAACAAATTATATACGGATAGGTAGATATTCAACTGATTAGTAAGTCAATAAATCTTCTATAACAGAAGCAATTGAAATGTATATTCGTTGATAACCTTAAAAACAGTTGTGCTGACTGGCAGTGAAGTAATATTCAAATAAAGATGGGGCGGGGTACACAAATGACCAAGGTATGATATCAGTTCGAAACGTATTAGATGCAAATGTTTTAGTTACGATCTACGACATACTCGTGATTTATGGTTAGATTGGCTCAAAATTGGTGGGGTTAGGGAAATTATTGAATCAAGTCATATTCCTAGTGTTTGAATGTAAGACACATTCCAATTTTAAGGACTGATGGTATAACCTAGTTTCCCAAACTAAAATTATTAGAGCGAGACTCGAACCTAGGATGCAGGCACAGTTGTTCTTGTAATTTATCAATACCGTTTGTTCCTATAGCACTAAATTTCTCAGTTTGTTTTATTATCTTCCATTACCAATGAACTACGTATGTGAACTCGGTTATTTATCATTTAATTTGAAATCATCAATCAATCATTGTTAGACCACCATTAGAAACCTGGAAGCACTGGACGGCCGTTTCATCCTGGTATGGGACTCATCAGTGGCAGTGAGCATCCACGACTCCTGCACCTCGCAGGATTCGAACCCGGGACCTTCGGTCTCGTGCGCGAACGCCTAACCATTAAACCACACCGTTGGATGCCAGCCCAATGGTGCATTCAATGTGAAAAAATGCGTTCAAACACAAGACCGAATGTCCTCAGTTCCAATCCTGCGAGACAGATGAATCGTGGATGCGCACTGCCACTGATGAGTTCCATACCGGGACGAAACGGCCGTTCAGTGCTCCCGTGTTTTTAATGCTGGTCTAACAATGATTGACTGATGATTTCACATCTCTAAAAAACACACATCTGCATAACTCTAATTGAAAATATCATTTAATCACCTTCCTGATATACAAGTTGAAAACTAGAGGATATGCACAACTATTTCATATTCTACATTGTTTATGAATGACTAAAAAAACAACTTCCCCTCGCATATTCAACTAATCATACTAATCTGTTAACAAAGAATAAGTAAAAATAGTTTAACCATTGAATGTATATCTATCTATACATGACTGCGATAATCTTTGATAGTTATGATTATGTTTAAACAAACAAAAAATAAAAACTGTCCACAAACACAAAAGAAACAGGATTTAGACACAAAATAGTACACTAGATAGATAATAAGCAATTGTTTTGTTTTAAGGCTATTTTTACTTACTCTAAATTTATATAATTCACTATCTTGATTTGATTGATTATACAATGCGGAAAGTAACAATTCAAAATGTTTCACAATTTCACCACCATAACCAAGACAATTGGACACGATCGCTTTACGTTCATGTAGACCATCAAGAAAATAATGTACTAATGCTCTTGTATGCGATAAACTTTGCACTACCGAATTTAAATAACATGTATTGCCTAGATTACGTAAACCATTGGTGCGTATTTGATGAATAGCTAAAATTCAATAATAATATTAATAATACAATGCATGATGATTAAAAATGATCATAATAAGAAAACACGTAACGTACACACACACAAACACACACACAAAAACACTGCATTGGATGCATAAATTGACCAATATAATTACAATTGTAATGATTTGGAAAAGACAATGGAATATTTTTGTTTTTAACGAGTGAATATTTCAACACGAATCACTTAAAACACCAGCATACCAATGACTGTGTTGTTTCCGTTAATGACGACAATAGGTCATTAGTGTACTTACTATAAAGTCACTTGTAAAAAATCCTTATTGCTTTGTTGACTATACCACTAACTAAAAGAATTGATAGACTGTATTCTTGTAATCTTACTAACCAACCATGGAATTAACTAGTAATTGGTTTTTTTTTTGTGGCATGCATTTTCATCTGGATCTGTAGTCTTACATTTCAATGAATGGTCAAGCGACAGGCAAATAAATCGATTATTTTCTGTTCAAGTCTGCCAAACTCAAATTCTTCCAAATGACAGAAGAGTGTATGTTTCTTTCTCTTTTGTTAAATTGATCATATTTTCATTATAGGCTGTACTGTACATTAAATTTAATTAACGTACACATAAGCTTCTCTTCGAATCCTACTCTTTCCGATTACTTTTAATACATCTACACTCCTATGGAATTTGAATTGACCATTGCGTCTCAATGCCAAGGTGGTATGGCAGATTGAACTGATGTACATAGGTATGAAATTCTACGTTGTAACTGACTGACTGACAGACAGACAACCTTAGCCTTTGCATCGCTATCACATCAATGTATCTTATTGAATCGCTACTGTTATTTCATTATACTTTTTACCGATTGATAAATTTAAATAGAGCAAAAACAACAAACATGGCAAAATAAGATGAATTGACTTTATTTCGCGGTTTCTCATTAAGTGCGTACAAGCTGAACATAAAAAGTATTAATTAGCGAAATCAAAAAAGTGTTGTCATCTATAAGGATTGATAAACGATAATCAAAATACAAGAGGTTTTCAATCGGTAGAATATTTACATGATAAATAATGAGAAAATTCTAAGAAGAACGAATGGTATTCAAGTTACGTAATAGTAACAATAAAAACTACTGATCGTGGGACTAGAAATATAACACAAAGGAAGCTAAGAAAACAAATTAATCTTTTTTTTCATTTGTAAACAAAATTGTCACGATAGCCATCAAGGACACAACAGAGTTGACACCACAGTGCCTTTTTTTTAATACATAAGTCTGATTTACACCGTTTGAAAGCAGTTGCATAGGCAAAACATAACAAATTCGAAGATGTTTACCTGTTAACAATTTTGAACGATGTCGAAATCTCAACTTTATGTCCACCATCAAGCAAATAACAAACAATCAAAACTTTTGACGGAAAATTGACCTCTCAGTCTCAGCTTTTGAGGAATAGGCCTTATTGATGCGGAAATTCACTCTTCTTTCACATTAAGCTAACAGAAAGAAGAGTGAATTTCCGCATCAATAAGGCCTATTCCTCAAAAGCTGAGACTGAGAGGTCAATTTCAGTCAAAAGTTCGCATTGTTTGTTATTGGCTTGATGGTGGACATAAAGTTGAGATTTCGAAATCGTTCAAAATTGTTAACAGGCAAACATCTTCGAATTTATTATGTTTTGCCGATGCCAACTGCTATCGAATGATGTAAATCAGACTTAATGTATTCAAAAAAAGGCACTGCGGTGTCAACTCTGTTGTGTCCTTGATGGCTATCGTGACAATTTTGTTTACAATGAAAAAAAGATTAATTTGTTTTCTTAGCCTTCCTTCGTGTTATCTGATACTTCTAGTCCTACAATCACAGTAGTTTTTATCGTTACTATTACGTAACTTGAATATCGTTCGTTTTCATAGGATTTTCACATTATTATTATGTAAATATTCTACCGATTGAACATCTCTTGTATATTTATTATCGTTTATCAATCCTTATAGATGACAATACTTTTTTTTGATTTTACTAATTCATACCATTTATGTTCAGCTTGTACGCACCTAATGAGAAACCGGCAAAGTTCAATTCATCTTATTTTGCCATGTTTGTTGTTTTTGCCTCTATTTAAATTGTATCAATCGGTAAAAAGTATAATGAAATAACAGTAGCCGATTCAATAAGATACATTGATGTGATAACACTACAAAGGCTAAGGTTGTCTGTCTGTCAGTCAGTCAGTTACAACGTAGAATTTCATACCTATGTACAATCAGTTCAATTAGCCATGCCACCTTGACAGTGAGAGGCAGTTATCAATTCAAATTCCATAGGAGTGTAGATGTATTAAAAGTAATCGGAAAGAGTAGGATTCGAAGAGAAGCTTATGTGTACGTTAATTAAATTAATGCCAGTCTATAATGAAAATGACAATGGACTTTTTAGACCTGAGAATGATCTATTTAACAAAAGAGAAAGAACATACACTCTTCTGTCATTTGAAGAATTTGAGTTTGGCAGACTTGAACAGAAAATAATCGATTATATTTGCCCGCCAGCTTGACCATTCATTCATTTGAATCGTTCATTGAAATGTAAGACTACAGATTCAGATGAAAATGCATGCCACAAAAAAAAACCAATTACTAGTTAATTCCATGGTTGTTAACACTCTCTATAAGATTACAAGAATACAGTCTATCAATTCTTTTAGTAAGTGTATAGTCAACAAAATAATAAGGATTTTTTACAAGTGACTTTGTAGTACACGGATGACCCATTGTCATAACTAACGGAAACAGTCATTGGTATGCTGGTGTTTTAAGTGATTCGTGTTGAGATTTTCACTCGTTAAAAACAAAAATATTCCATTGTCTTTTCTAAATCATTACAATTGTAATTATATTGGTCAATTTATGCATTCAATGCAGTGTGTGTGTGTGCACGTGTTTTCTTATTATGATCATTTTTAATCATCATGCATTGTATTATTATTACTATTATTATTGAATTTTAGCTATTCATCAAATACGCACAAATGGTTTACGTAATCTAGGCAATACATGTTATTTAAATTCGGTAGTGCAAAGTTTATCGCATACAAGAGCATTAGTTCATTATTTTCTTGATGGTCTACATGAACGTAAAGCGATTGTATCCAATTGTCTTGGTTATGGTGGGGAAATTGTGAAACATTTTGAATTGTTACTTTCTGCATTGTATAATCAATCAAATCAAGATAATGAATTATATAAATTTAGAGTAAGTAAAAAAAGCTTTAAAAAAAAACAATTGCTTATTATCTATCTAGTGTACTATTTTGTGTCTAAATCCTGTTTCTTTTGTTTTTTGTACAGTTTTTATTCTTTGTTTGTTTAAACTAATCATAACTATCGAAGATTATCGCATCATGTATAGATAGATGATATACATCCAATGGTTAAACTATTTTTACATATTCTTTGTCAACAGATTAGTATGATTATTTGAATATACGAGGGGAAGTTGTTTTATAGTTATTTATAAACATTGTAGAATCTGAAATAGTTGTGCATATCCTCTAGTTTTCACCTTATATATCAGAAAGGTGATTAAATGATATTTTCAATTAGAGTTATGAAGATGTGTGTTTTTACACACATGTGTGGCAGTGCGCATCCACGACTCCTGCACCTCGCAGGATTGGAACTGAGGACATTCGGTCTTGTGCGCGAACGCATTTTCTCACAATGAATGCACCATCAGGCCGGCATCCAACGGTGTGGTTTAGTGGTTAGGCGTTCGCTTACAATACCGAAGGTCCTGTGAGGTGCAGGAGTCGTGGATGCGCACTGCTGATGAGTCCCATACCAGGATGAAACGGCCGTCCAGTGCTTCCAGGTTTCTAATGGTGGTCTAACAATGATTGATTGATGATTTCAAATTAAATGATAAATAACCCCGAGTTCACATACGCAGTTCATTGGTAATGGAAGATAAAGAAATGAGAAATGTAGTTCTGTATGAACAAAGGGTATTGATAAATGACAAGAACAACTGTGCCTACATCCTAGGTCCGAGTCTCGTTCTAATTATTTTAGTCTGGGAAACTAGGTTATACCATCAGTCCTTAAAATTAGAATGTGTCTTACATTCAAACACATGGAATATGACTTCTTTAACCCCGCCAACGCCCAGCCAGTCTAATCATAAATCATGACTATGTCGTAGATTGTAACTAAAACATTTGCATCTAATCCGTTTCAAACTGATAACCAATGAATTAGGGAACTGATATCATACCTTGGTCGTCTATGTACCCCGCCCCATCTTTATTTCACCATTACTTCAATGTCAGTCAGCATAACTGTTTTTAAGGTTATCAACGAATATACATTTCAATTGCTTCTGTTATAGAAGATTTATTGACTTACTAATCAGTTAAATATCTGTCTATCCGTATACAATTAGTTATGCTTATGTAACTCTACCATAACCAAGCAATTATTTGAACAAATGGACAATCGTATGCTAACTGTTTCTTCAATAATCACAGTTCATATCTTGTGACTATAGTGTAATAATAATGTACAACCAACTGGTGTAAGGTTGATTCACTAGTTAAAAAAAGACTGTTAGAGTTCTCTGTTTCTGTTCGATAAGTAGTGAAGTGTAGTGTAGTGTACTTTGTCACTTCAATTGAAATGGAAGCTAAACTTTCAAAATAATGATACTATTTAGGTAATAATTGCAACATGAGAATTGAATGGTCAGTCAAATCACACCATAAATTGATTCTACCACAAAATTTATTAAAACTTTTATAAAATTTTATCAATGATGCATATTATATCTGACTTTATTTTCGTTAAAATTAAAAAAAATCATTCAAAACTGATTGATAAAATTTTTCTAATTTATCTTCATTAACGTGCAAAAATCAACAAAGAATTCTTTTGATAATATGAAATCCTGTCTAGATAATTTAAACATTTAATTTAAATAAAAATAACTATTCAATTGTGTATTTGTCTAAATTGCTCTATGAATGAATAAGTTATAAATAATTCAAACTCTATTACAATTGAAAATTGACACGTGCTTCTTCTATACGTCATATCAACTCAACGACATCAAGTTGACGGTATAGAAATGAGTAAAAAAAAATAAAAGTCATGACAAGAATAAGGATAACAGTTGTAATGGATAATTTAATATGAAAAAGTATATATTTTTCAAATGAAATGAATCTAATCATGTTTATGATAATTGTGTGGAGTAGTTCTTATGATCATGATGTTCTCTAAGTAGGTAATGACAGATCATTGAACAATAACTTCACGCATAATGTTATATTTTCGTAATATTCACGTAAGGCTTTTTTTCAGCTTATTTTATTTCAATTCACCATTCATCATTTCACACGTGAAAGTGGCTGTGTACTTATATAAATTTTACAGAAGACTAGTCATTAATGACTATCGATTGTTGTTTTAAACAAGTTACAGTTCTCATTTATTTATTTACTTAGAAGTATACGTTTGTGTATATTTGTCTACTTTTGAGAAGTCCGATATCTAACTCCTATTAAATATGCAATGAAAATATAAATCTTCCATTTAGTACTGTATATTAATTACACTTAGGCTAACCCCGTTTATGCGATGATATATAGTAATCAGAAGTTAAATACGAATTCAGTTGAATGAGTTTAATTTCATGCAAACGCTTACATAGACAGATACTTGAGAAATGAGCAGCAGGAAAGCGAGGCGAAGAAGGCAAGTTTGTCAACTGTTCTGTACTACTCATTACAAGCGTTAATATATAGCTGAAGGTAGATGATGTGTAGTGGACACGGAGACAGGTATTGAATAAAATAGTGAGTGACAGATGAACACACAATGTGTATACACAGAATTAGAAGAACAGAATGTGTATGCTGAAGGTCACAATTTACTGTGAAATGAATATACTTAATTAAATGATCAAAACGGCCTATTGGTCACATGCTGTCTTAGTTACTAGTCAGTCAAAAGTTTAGGATAGGCCATACAAATACATCGTGTACTAAACTCTATATACTTGGTATTCAAACCATTAAATAGCGTAAAAAATGATGAAGTTGTAACTGATTCATTTCAGTTTAAAGTCAAAGTGTTTATCACACTCAATAATACTGATTACCCAGCTAGCCATGTAGTGAAGGAGAACACAGGTGAGGGCAACCGAATTGTATTTATCGCAAATTACAGAGTCAATCAGTAAAATAGGAAAACCATATCGTAAACGGTTAATTTGCAAAACATCAATCCATTGTCTGACATTTCACTGTTCATGTGTTTCACACAAATTCCATTGTGTTCCCACTCTTCCTTTCTTGATCTTCCCCTATCTTCTGCTGCCAGACATTACGTTGACACTCGTGTCATATACTACTTTTAAGTAGCGCGCACCACAGCCAGATTAAAATAGTGAGGAGTTTGAATTTGTAATCTTTTGATTAGTTAGATAGAAACCAGTTGCATGTTAAAAGATAATTACTGTTCTATGATTGCGAATAATTCTTCAATAAACAAAAATAACTATTTAGGTACATCTTTACCCACCTTGTTATTACAGTAAAAGAAATGTGTAAATAATTTACGCCGTCTGATTTAATAGCTTAATAAATTACCTAATGTAGAGTGATTTCAAGTACAGTCTAATTTATCATCACCTTAATTAGCCAAACAGTTTGAAATACTAATTTCTTACTAAGCTACTTTAAACCATTTCAAAATGTCGGGGATGTTCGATCCCCAGAACTCATTTGATGAAGGCCCTAATTTTGAATTTTGTGTTTTCACACATGGGCTGATCAGTTGACTATGAAATTACATTTCCCACCCGGAAAATCCTTGAATGTTATTTTAGTACGTTATTTTCGTGGCTCTTCGAAGGACGTTTCTATCATTTTTAATAAACTCGATTTGTGCGCTTGTCAACCTTATATTTCGAATGCACGTAAACATGTCAATTTGATATGCTAGAATCAATACCAGTTTACCTTAGTCGGAAAACGAGAACGAGGATCCGATGATACGACAGACTATTTTAATCTGATGGTCCCAAACCACCATTAAATAGAAGAAGGCTTGATATGAAGTAGAACCTGCATTCTACATACATCGAGGAAGTACGAGGTCCGAGTCCAGAAGAGAATCAGGATCCAGGACTAGGGACTCGGGTCATAAAACGTGACAGATAATGCGTATTTATACAGTTAGGTCAAATAAGAAACAACATTCCAGTACGTGACATTGGTAGTCAGGACGACCGATGGGAAACAACATTGAAGTACGTGACATTGATATCTAAGACTACCATAATATTGACTGGTAAGAGCTAACCAATAGGCATTGACCAATAATTCTCTTAAGATATTGGATGAATATCCTAACACTGGGTGCTTGTAGAATATACTTTCTACGTCTTGTCAAGACTTCGTCCTCTACTTAGTGGGGTCTTGGGACGCTCGGATTAAAGTAGCCTATCGTGTCACTGTATCATTTGTTTTCACTCGCGTTTACTGACTAAGGTGAACTCGTAATAGTTTCAAGCATGCTAATGGACGAGCATAACACAAAAATAAACTATTTTAAACTTTTTCGTTGTTGTTGTTGATGTTGTTGTTATTTATTAAATTGAATATATCAAAACAAATTTTTTTGAACAAAATCAATTTGATTTTTGTTTAGTTTCTCAGCTAAATCATATTCTGATGATGGTATATTATTATCAGTGTTATTATTATTATTATTATTATTATTATTAGTAGCAGTAGTACTAGAGGTAGTAGTGTAGTGAATGAGAACACAGGTGGAGGCAACCGAATTGTATTTAACGAAAATTACAGAGTTACTCAGTAAAATTGGAAAACCATATCGTAAATCGTTCATTTGCAAAATATCAGTTCATCCTATGGAACTGGACTGTTCCTGTTGCCAAACATCAATCCATTGTCACTCTTCATGCGTTTCATACAAATTCCATTGTTTTCTGACTCTTCCTTTCTTGATCTTCCCCCCATATTATGCTACTAGACTTTACGTTGACACTCACGCTATATACTACTTATAAGTAGTTCGCACCACAGCACCACACTCGTCCCCCCTTTTAATAAGCTGTCGTCGCAGTCTTTCTGATCTCCGTACAGCCGTCTTCTTCATCAGTGTTTGTGGCTCGCCCTCTTGGCGCACTTGGAACCACCTTTGGAGTTCACTGGCATTCACGCGTTTCTG